AGTGTTCACACAGTGTGGAGATAAGGCCTCAGTGCCATGGGTTAGTGGTGGCTTTGGTAGTGCTGGGGCAATGGCTGGACTTGATCGTCTTAAAGGTCTTTCAACGTTGTTGTTGTTGATTCTATTATTCTATGATAATCAAAAAGTGAGTAACAAGGAAAAAGTGTAGCATTTCTGGCCTATCACTCATTTACGAGTCAGAAAGCTGCTTCAGGTCCTGGTGTTTTTCTTTTTTTGCAGCAAACTTGAATGTTGCTGTCTTAGGAGCTCACGGATATTGATGTATCAGTACAGAAATTGCCAATAAGCTAAACGCTGATTTCTAGTAACAGTCAACAATCTTTAGGTTTAATTACTGCCATTAGCACTTTCAGTCCCTTCTTTCTAGAGAGCAGAGTTCTACACAAGCACCAGATAAATTGAAAATGAAAAGAAGAGAAGCTGGCAGTGGGAGGATAACGGCTGTGATTAAAAAGTGTTAAACTTTGTTTTGCATTCTCTTTCTGAAAGATTTTTTTCATATACGTTATGCATAATGAAGCACTGATTTAGAATGCAATTTAGGGTTAATTCATTTTCAGTGGACTAGAAGAAATGAATGCCACCTTTTCTTGAACAGAGCTAGCATTCAGACTGCAGTTCAGCCTCACCAGTTCTATAGTGGTTTTGTGTTTCCACACAGCACATGCTAATCTTGTCCATAGTCCATGGATTCAATTCTCCATCATCTCTGTTCAAGTTTCTCTTGTGTGTCAAGGTCGTAGCAAGGAGATTTTTGGTTTGGGTGGATTTAGCTACAGTGAAGTCTGAGTAAGATCTATAAAGGCTGCTTTAATTGCAAACAATCTGTATCTTTCTGAGAGTGCTGCAGAGTGGTTAATAACATCTCTAATAGAGCCAATTGTGCATCATTATGAAATCCATGAATGCTACTTTGGTTCATGTAGAATGCAAGCAGTCGTGGAGGCTGCTCACAGTGATAACAGACCAGACTAGGAAAGGAAAAAGTTGCTTAGAACCCCATGGTTCAGGTTGACACAATGGCTTTGTTTCCTGAAATAGGGGGAAATGAAGGTATTTCCCTTACTTATGTTTTCACAGTTTGAAACCATATCCTGGCTGCTTAGAAAACCCGTGGTAAAATTCCTGTTGACCTCTTTTAGACCTATTTCTATCTAATTTTTTCCTCCCTAGATTTATACAGTTGGGTTTCGGTTTGGGGTTTGTTTTTTTTTTGCATATTATTCACTAAAGCATTTAAATTCCTCAGCCCAGTAAAGTGGATACTTAAACTATAAGGATAAATGTTCTTAGTCAGTAGAATTGCTAACATGCATAGGGTTAGACACACACAGTATCTGTGGAGCAGTCAGTGTCAGTGTTGCCTGTGAACAAGCCTTAGGAACACCCCAAACCTCTCTCTGCCCTTTTTAATCCCTCATGCAACATAGCCCTTATACAACTTTGCACTAAATTTCAGTTACCTGGTTCCTTGCAAGCCCAGTAAATGGGCATAGAGAGTGCCAATCTTTAAGAAGATAAAAAAACCCACCTCACTTTCCTCACTAGCAAGTCCTGGTGGGTTTTTCCTCCCCACTGGGGAAAATGAAAGCACACAATGAAAGCTTGTAGATGCTTTCCCAGCTGGTCTTTCAGAGCGTGAAGAGAAGCTCAGAGCCAGCCACGCATTCAGCTGCTTGCCTGCAGCTCTAGGAAATTCACAGTTGCAGGAAGAGCAGCCCACGTAATCCTGCAAATCCTGTGTGTGCCTGTAAGAACCTGTGAGATGTGTGAGATTCAGTCCGAGGATGAGACCCTTGGAAAATTTATCTTTCCAGTTTCTTTCATGTATAAAGTAGGAGCCCTGATCTAGGCATTGTACATCCCACAGATTTACACCACCTTTAGGGAGGAATTTCTTTCCAGTTCAAACAGAAATGCAGGAACAAAATCTCAGAGATACACTCTGGTGCTTGTCTACCAGCCACTCCAGAGACATCCAGGTGCCTTCTCACTCGGTGTTATGGCATCAGAGCAACGTGAGAGCCGATCCTGCAGTCAGGAAATAGGGTAGGACACAGCACACATCATAGAATCATAGAACCATAGGATCATAGAATCATAGAACCATAGAATCGTAGAATCATAGGATGGTTTGGGTTGGAAAGGACCTTAAAGCTCATCTAGGGATGCCCCACACTAGAACATGTCACCCAAGGCTCTGTCCAGCCTGGCCTTGAACACTGCCAGGGATGGAGCATTTATTTGGGCAATCCATTGCAGCACCTCACCAGCCTCACACTAAAGAACTTCTTCCTTATATCTAACCTGAACTTCCCCTGTTTCAGTTTGAACCCATCACCCCTTCTTGTCCTATTGTTACAGTCCCTTATGAAGAGTACCTCACCAGGGACGTCCTTCCATGCCTTCATCTTGCACAGCTCTGAGACATCCAGTTCAGTTTGGATCAGCAGCCTGTCTCAGCACACAGCCTGCCAAGTGTGCTTTTGAGCTTCTCAGTAAAGAAGAAAGTCCCTTTTTTTATTTTCCTTGTGGAATATCAGTTTATTTTACTGAACAAGCCCAAGGGGGAGCAGATGATCAAAAGGGGAAAAACTGCTGATGGGTACATGAATGATTCATTGTTTTACAAAGATGCTTCTGTGCAAATCTAGACTTAAAACTCTATGAAATGACCAGTAAGAACCCATCTCCAGTGTCTTTCTGTAAGTGTAGGGGGGTTTATAGATTTTAGGTTTTATTTCTAATTCTGCAGCAATAAAATGAGCCTATTGTCACCTCCTTGCCAGCACTCACAGTAGACATTTGCTGTCCAGATTTATTTGAATGATAACAGTCTGCCCAGGGCAGTGGTGGAGTCACCATCCCTGGAGGTACAAAAAAGACATGCAGGTGTGACTTTTGGGGTGTGGTTTAGTGGTGGACTTGGCAGTGCTGGGGTAACGGTTGGACTCGATCTTAAACATCTTTCCCAATCTAAATGGTTCTATGGTTCAATAATGCCAATTTTTCAGTAAGAAAAGTGGGTCAGCCAGATCTAGAAAAACACAGGGGCATAAATGTTGTCAACAATTAAACTCTCCTCGTTGTACATGACAGCCTGATGGATGCAATCCCTGCCACACCTTGAGCAGCATTATCCAAGCATGGAGGTGCAGAAAATACTGTGAATTCCCACCAGAGGCTGTCCCTGGTGTGTGTATTTGGCTTGAAACCCATGAGCTTTATTCTTCAAGTACCTCTGGGTGGTTTTTAGAGGTTACTCAGTGCCTGAATTCGTCCTCCCTCTCTTTCCAGTACAATCAAGTAATAGGAACGGCGCTTCCTCATCCAGCATACATGGCAAAACAGCTTTGATGAACAATTTGATTATCTTATCACCCATCTCAGACCTTCAGTTGCAGAGCAGATGTTGCAGTGAAGGGCACAATACAAGTTGGATTCCTTTTCATGTCATTTCTTTCCTTGACAGCTCAGCTGTGCTCTGAAAGATTGGGGCTGGGGGGGTGTAGGTGGAATTGCTGCCTCTTTCTCAGCGGGTCTGCTCCCCATTGTGAACCCAAATTTCTCAACTCAAATTCGAGTTTACTGCACTTAATCCTCGTTCCCTTTGCTCAGCAGAGCTGGAGCTGTCAGAAGGTGGCTGTGGCACAGCAAAGCTCTGGGAGTCCAGCCCTCCCTGCCCATGCACACCTCTTGGTAACACTTTCTCACTCTCTTTATATTAATTTTAGTTTCAACACTACTGCCAAAGGAAGAGGATCTTTCTCTCTTCTCTAATCAAGCAAAGACCAGTTCCTCTTAACAGCATCTTTTACCTTTGTACATGCAGGAAAACTCAGATTCATCTACCATTTCCACTGCATGCATGTGTGGAGGTATTACAGTAGGTCAAATACGACTGGAACAATATTGTTAAGGTTTTCTTCACATAACCACGAGTTCTAGACTGCAGAACTGTTACATGTGATTTTTAGTTGTATTTTTTTATGACTTTTATTTTTATAGCTGGCCTACTAATTAGACATCTACATTCAAAACTAGAGGATTAAAGCAATTATTTTTTGGGGGGTAAACTTGAACTGAAGCGGTGCATTCATATTTAAAATAAATACTAAATATTCAGAACCTTGTGGCAAACTGTTAGACAAGAGATTTGGTTTCCTTGATGTTACTATCTTCACCACTGTCAATAATGCCTCTTCTTATCTCTTCTCAAGGCCACACTACTGAAACTGAACTGTATTGCCAAACATCTCTCATGTCAGTATGAGTCTAGCTAGGAAGCACCAGTGCATTTTTCATTAAGCTTTCCTCCAATCTACCACACTGACAAGTCTCTTCAGAAAACCACTCTGAAGAAAGCAGAGGAATTTCACCAGTTTTCACAGGCGTTAACCAAGGTAGAACATCTTTTGTGTTGCTGTGCTGACACAGAAAACCCATTCACTTTATAATCACAAGAAGAAACACCTTTTTTGATATATAGATTTTTCAGTTACTCCAAGTGTTCAGAAAGTTTTGGAGGGGGAAGAGCTTGATTATGAGTTAACTTTATTTTAGGCAATGTCTCTGGAAACAAGTCATTCTGGTAACAGCACAAAGGTGAGTCTAAGCAGGTCTTGTTCAACTGGGGGATTGGTGTGGAGTAGGCTGGAGAAAGAGGCCAGAGAGTGATGATTTCTCTACCTGTTTCCAGACTCTTGGTGACTTGTAACAATGCTTCTAGTCTTTACTTACTCTTCCTCCTTTCTGCTCTTTGTTTTTGAACATGGACCCTCTAGTTTGCCTCTGTCTCCTGCTGTCTATCCTTATGTGCCTCAACACCACCAAGCATGAACAGTCTAGAATCTTGGTTGGAATCTTTTGGTGATATTGTGTGTCAGTTCAAGTCTAGCCACAAATCCAGGTTAGGTGACTAATATAATGGGGTGTGTAATGCATTACACATTTTACATTACACTGTTTAAAGCTGAGAGCGGAGCTTTCCTCTATCTTTACAGAAAGAAGACTGAGAATTGTCTGCTTATCTCACTGAAGAACTGTGGAAACCAGGTCAGTTCACCCTGAAAATATCTAAATGACAAAACCTACTTTACAGAAATCTTTTATAGCTTCTTCTGCTTTTCTTTAAATATTACTGTGAACTGCTCCAGTCACTTGCTAATAGGGCCAAACCTATTTCGTATGTGGTTTCCTTTCTCAGCGTTGCTGTTCTTGCAACCAAATGCACCAAGAAATGCAGCAGGAGACCTGGATGTCATTTGCTGTCACTTTATTAATATAAATCCTTTGGGATTCTAAACAATTAATACATTAACAAAGCAACATAAAATAATGCAATAGCAAAACACCCTCAGACAGAGGACGCATGCTGCAAAACACTTTTGTTGTAGAGTCTATCTTGGTCTGCACTGGTTTCCTGTAGCAAAGAAAGGCAAGGGGCCCAGATCATGGCGCTGCCTTTCTCTGAGAACATCACTGCAATTCTCTGGAGGCTTGTCACAGAGCAGCATCTAATTTTGTCCAGATAAAAGGGTGGAGGGTCAGGACCTCTTTTCAGGACCTCTTTCTTCATCTTCTGTCATTTGGAAAGAAACAGGAGCTTCCAAAGCTGAAGAAACAGGAGTCACAGGCAGTATTTGTCATAAAAACTATGAGCTTAAGACTTCTCTTTGTCCTAAAATCTATTCTTCTGAGTACAGGTTGTTTCTGTGCAGAAAGCTGGCACATAAATTAAGCATCACATAAGCCCTACTGATGCCTTCACATTAGTGTGTAAATAAGATTTAAGCTGCTAATAGCCCCTTTCTAGGTCTCGGCATAGAGTTGAATTTTATATGCTAGCCATGACAAGACTAGAGGAAAAAAAATACAGTTGTGGTAGCAACAGTCAGGTTTAAACAGGGGACTGAATTTAAATGAAGTGGGGATTAAAAGTACAATAGCCATAGCTGAGATGTCCTGATGGCAAGCACATTTCAGAAATTACATCAAAACCAGACAAGAAGTCAACAACTTTTTCTGTTTGAAAACCACACATGGTGGTCTGTTGAGCTGCACCAACAATTTCCATTTTGCTGGTTGCAACTGGAAAGTCAAATACATCAGGTCATTGTGGTACCAGCTGACAGATCAAGGCCATCAGGCCCTACCTGCCTGTCACAAAATATCTTTTCTGAGCATGGTCTGCAGAATAAACCCAAGCTGAGGTGTTCTGAGCTCTCAAGCACTGCAGGATCCCAAAATGCTGCTGCATCTGTGAGCTCAACCTCTTGGATTTGCGGCAGCGCGTTCAGTCCTTCCCAGCAGTGGCTAGGTGAAGGTCTTCCATGACTAGTTGCTAATTCAGTAGGCACTGTCTCACTCTGAGGTGCCCACCACCCCTCTTCTGCACGTAATTCAACTCAAGTCTGTCATTTTTTTCTCTTTGAAGAACAAAGAGCTAGAGATGAAGGGGTTGGAACAACCCAGGGTGGTTTCAGGAGGCATTCAGTAGTTAGGTGTACTGACTTGTACTCGTAATAAGCACTGATATGTGATTAGTATCATTTCAGCACATCTTGCAGTCTGAGTGCTTTCCTATTAATTTTCCCATTCTGCTAACATGGAGTGTTATGCCAGCAGAAAGAAGAGCTGGCAAAGACAAAAGCACAAACAAGGGAGCTGCCAAGTGCAAGGGTATTTATACCCTTCCCTGGATGTGGGATGGACTTTGGTGGTGCCTAATTCAGCACATAATGAGAAGCATGGTGATGCAGGTGAGGAGCAGCATGCACTCATGGCTCAGAAAGCCACAGCATTCCAGGAATGAGCCAGCTCCTATTGGAATCTCTCTTCTCCACCTGCATTTGGGCCTTTGGTACTGTGCAAGTGATAACCCAGCTCATTATACCCACGCTGTGATCTTTGCAGCTTGCCCAAGACCCACTGTCAGCACCAAGACTGCAACAAACCAAACCAGGCACCAAAGAGGGCTTTTTTCCAAGTCACTTTCACCACTTAAAATGATGAAGAAGGAATGAGAAATGATCAAAGTAGAAGTTACGTTTTTGCCAAATGTCATGTGATCTTTTAATACCTCTGCCCCCAAATTACTTGATGGTATCCATGCTACCTCATATATTGTCAGACAGGTACAAATCTGATGTGAAACAGGAAACAGTAGGATGAATGGCCCTTGCCTGCTGTGTCTGCTGGGTACCATCAGGCAATCTGGGCCAGGTTTTAGTAGAGGCAAATGGGACTCATCCAGTCAGATGGATTAATTAGTATTCACCTTAATCTTTTATAAAATGTCTAGCTTTCACTGTGCTCATTTGGTTTATTCGTTCTCCAGCTCCATGTTGTCTAGGGGGTAGATGAGGTTCATTTAACTTTTCATTTTCAAAAAGAGAAGAGTGGATCTGAGGTTTTAGGAGAACTGGTGTCACCATTTCAGAGCTTTGTGGGGAGCGAGTGAGGGCTTCTGCTAAACCTGAGCAACACAAGGCACCAGAGGTGAACACAATCACATACCTGTAATAGCCCCTGTATGTAAAACTAAAACACAGGCAGCGTGCATTAAGAGGGGATGTGAGTCCCAAATCTTTTTTCCCGTGCTCATGGATTGCCTTGTTACTGATGGATGCTTCAGAGAGAAAAATGACAAAGCTCTGAATTTCTTGTTTGATGCTGGAGATGCTTAGAGAGAGAAAATACGGTAGAGCAGTGAAAATGAGGATATGTCTTTATGCTCATTATAAACATCTTTACAGATGGAATAAAGTAATTACTGTACTGGAGTACATTGGTGCTGTGTTTGTGCCAGTCCCCCCTCTCTGACAGTGATGTGGAGATAAGCCTGGTGGGATTGAGAGGCAAGCTCCAGAGAACAAATAGCAGCCAGATGAGGAGCATGTCTCCAGCCATGGCCAAGAGCAGCTGTGAAGTAGCATCTAGGTATTTGCTCTGGTGCATTTTGATGTTCAAAGACGTCCCAAGCTATAGGGGGTACCTGGGCTTTAATGGCCCCTTAGAGGACTTTTGTCCTAGAACTCAGCTGAGGTGGGTATTTTCACTGTATAATTATGTATTATTTTATATCCATGATATCCTGTGTATAATCCTACAGCTGAACTCCACTTAGGGCAGAAAGTTCTGAGCCCACTGCGCTGGCAGCTTCTATGTCTCCTGCACCAGCACAGCACCAGCTGCTACTAACAAGGAGAAAAATGACTGCTACTGCTGAACCCAGGATACCTGGGGAGCATCACTGAGCATGGCCCAGACACCCAAGGCTCTAAAAAGCTTTTCCCAGGTGTCAGTTTCTGGAGATGAAGAGTCTGCCCTGCTCACTAATCCCTTGCTGGGAAGCTCTGGTCACATTTGCTTCCCCTCTTTGGATCTCCTTTCTTTGAAGCTGCCCCAGTTCAATGATGCTCTTTTTGGAGCCACACGGTGCAGGGGCAGGTACATGTGTTTGCAGGTGGCTGATCACTGGTTTATATCATGGTGTGGTGCCTGTTTCTGGTTGGTTCTCTCCCACTTTCCAGATGATTTCTTGTATCCTGTATGTAAACACAATCTTCCCAACATCTGTTGACATTTGCAGCCTGATCTCAGTTACTCCATTTAAAGTGAGCACTGGCATTTGTCAGGGTGATGAAGGGGGAAATGTTCATAACTTCATGACCACTGCACTCAGCCTGCTGGCTGAGAGCTTGAGGGGTGCAACAGACAGTTGATATGAGAAAAGAGAGAAAAACAGAGCTCCTTTTGATGTTTTGCAATGGGGCAGGTGCTTCAGAAGCCCTCAGTATTTCTCTGCTGGCTAGCTGCTGCAGTGGCCTGGGCAAGTTACTGGTTTTACATTTCTGCCCCAGGCTGCTTGTGTCTGGGGCAAAGAATTTTTTCTCTTCAGTGTCTCATGCTATTTTGACTGTCTTGAGCAGTAGTGCCATGTCAGCACTTTTGTTGGACACCTTTATTTCCTGTGTTTGGTCCCTTTAAAAAGCCAGAAGAAATACTAACTGATATCAGCTTCAGACATTTTTTAAGTTGATGCTACACTCATGTTTGCATTTCCTTCAAGAACTGCCCTTTGCTTCATGAACAGACTGATGGTGTTGCAGAGCATCTGCACTATTATATTGGAATACACCCTGACAAATCCATGGCATGAAGTGAAAAGGGCAAAAGATTAGAATAAAAATGGCTTAATAAAAGGAATCATTGCCATAATCTGTTCAAAACTGCATAAGGGAAATGCAGCACTGCGGAAAACATTCTCCATGAAAAAAAATCTTGATTTGTAAAAAAAGCTGGTGTAAAGAGGTGGATGTAGTTACAACCCCATCTGTTAAACCAGCTGAGGATCTGACCATATACCTTTGTCTGATCTTTAAGAGTGAGATCATTTTTGCCTCCTGCCAAGGCTTAGATAACCAGGGATTTACCTCATAGCTTTTGCTGTCCCGATATGTACAGATCTGTGCAGTTGTTCAGTTTCATGACACCGTTTCCCTCTTACAGCAGAACTTATGAGGCTCTATCATTTCAGGCTTGATTTTTTTTTCCCCTGGAAACAAATGTGAAACTCCTCCCCCATTTCTGGCTGTAGGCCATCCTGCTTAGTGCAGGGAGAGGATGGGGGTGAGCTGGTACAAGCAGCTCAGAGCAGGAGCACTGGCTGGGACCTGTCATTGCTGGAGTCGGTATGCAGGAGTGGGATGTGCTGTCTGGGTTCATCTCCTCAGCCCCCAGGAGAAGCATGTAGTCTTCGTTAAAAATACCAACCCCACGTCCATATTGGCAAACAGAGCTCCCAACACTGCAGACTTCCAAGCTGGGGTTCAAAGCTTTATTTTTTTCAATTCATTAGAGGCTGTGAAGTGATTGTCTGTGCGGGCACACAATCGGCGTGGGAAACCAGAGAATGGAGGCTTCCAACAGGAAAAAAACCCTACGTAATCCAATTGAAATTGCTAGCTGGTGTGATAGTTTTTCATATTTTTAATCTCTATGGATGTTGGTTTTCTCTTGCTCAAGCTGATGTCACTCTGCCAAATTAGCAT